CGCCGAATGTGGGTGACCAGACCACTTCGGAATCGATCCCCGGCCCGGCGTAGCCCGAGATGCCCGAGCTCCGGTTCAACTCGTCGCGTTGGCGGTACGTAGGAGAAAGTAAAGATTCTGTAGAAAATGAAATATGTAAGTCAGTAGTGGTAAAATGAGGATAAAGGAGCATGTGTAAGAACAAAATTTGATCACAGTGTGCTGGAATATTTGATTGGAAGGTGGAACTGGCCCAGGACTCGAAGGCGACGTGCGGGACACGTCGCACTTCCACACCGATGTCCGGTTCGGTCCGGTTTTTTGCTAAAATTTCCGAACCCCTGGGGTCCGGTTCGGGCAAAATGGGCGAACCCTGAACCGAACATCAGTCCGGTCCACCAAGGGTTCGGTTCAGGTTCTGAATAGGTTTGGACCTCAAACAACCGCAAATTTCTCTCGCTTGATTTGGATGTAAGTACAGTACGAAATGTAAACTATTCGTCAAGAGCATCCAAGGCAGCGACAACACTTTTTGTTGCATCTTCAGCGGCGCTGACATGCCTGTTCCGGTACGCACTTTTCAACAGCTGAAGAGCCTCAAACATGTCGGGAGCGAGCCGGTTCCGATGAGGAGTTCCAGTGAGTTATCCATTCGAAACACCCGCTCGGAAGTGGCGAGGTAGTCGCTGGCAATGTGCGCCAGAGTTGGGTATTGATACAAGCAGCCAGCATCCTCTCTTCATGGGGGAAGACCAGATAACAGGGATATTCCGATGAATTCGAAGACAAGGGGTGCATACCAAGTAGAGCAGTTGGCAGCTCAAAGAGAGAGGTAACGGCAGGCTCGAGCCAGCAGAAGGATAGGCCCGATGGTCGGAGGTGATGCGCTGGTAGTGTGCTAGCTCCAGGCAGATGTGGAGCGCGTGACAATTTTGTGTCTTGAATTTTGTTGCTGTTTTCGAATTGAATATCCTGTTTGAAGCAAGTTGGAAGACACCAGTTTATCTGCTCAAAGCAAATTAAGTGAAGCCCTCGACGAGCTGGCGCGGTGTAGGTTGTGACAGAAGTAAAGTAGTTCAGTAGTTTTCTGGAATCCAACACCTCACCAACTCAGCTTTGCGTGAATGCTTGGTTTGTGGACGATTCTTGCGGGTCCGTTCCCTTTTTAATTACTCGGGCCTCACACACACATGATGCATTCCTAGCACTGAAAGATGTCCGGCGGCTTTGAGTGCAGAGTGAAGGCGGCGGTTGAAAAAAAGATGGACCAGACTAATGCATGTCCTCGGGTGGGTTCGAACCACCGTCGCTCCCATATGCGTTCGTCGTGGGACCTAGATGTTGTGGGAGTGAGCTGCATTACTCCACAAGGACCTGATTTATATAAGGTAACAACAGGCCGTACATGTTCCAATTTGCAGGCAAGTTTAATGGTTGCCTCTCGCAGCAGCAGAAATGTCGAGAATTGGTATACATATGGGGCGGACAGAGGGAAGACGCCAAGGAAGAGAAAAGAAAAGAAAACAGATACTGGGACCACTTATTTCCTGGGGTGGGTTCGAACCACCTCTCCCATGTAATGCTGGAAGATGAGTTTGATTTTGTGGGATTGAGCTCCATTGCTCCACGAAGACTTGTTCTCATCCAAAGAGCAATACTGAGAATCCGGGGCGGAAAAGATGCGTGCTTGCTCTAATGTTAGACTGAGTGACTTCTGCTTCTCCTGGTCACCTCCAGCGTTCAAGCCAGGGGGATGACTCAACAAAATGGAAGGAATTGTGTGCTGGTGGGAACAAAGAAGGAGGGGAAAAAGAATCGCCACTCCTATGCATGCCCCCGGGTGGATTCGAACCACCGGCGCTCCCAGATCTGCTCGCAGCACGGGAATGTTGTGGGAGTGAGCTGTATTGCTCCAGCCTGATTTATACGAGGTAACAATGGGTTGTGCATGTTCTAATTTCAGACAAGTTTGTCGCCAGCAGAAATGTGAATAATTCCTGTATGAACACACCATCAGCACTAAAAGATTTCCTTTACCCAATAAAAAGAAGAACGTCGCCCAAACTGCGTATGTCCTCGGGTGGACTCGAACCACCGGCTCTCCCATAACAGACTCTCGATCGTTATTGTGTGGGAGTGAACTTCATTACTCTACAAGGACTTGGTCTTATCCGAAGCAATACCGAGAATCAAGGAAAGAAAGAGAAGTGCGCTCTTCAAGGTTGTTGTCCGTTCGCGGGAGGGCTATCGGCCGAAATCGGATCAACGCCCAAAGCAGGTGATGGGACGCTCTGAGCCAAACACTGGCATACCGCGCCAGCTCGCTCCCCCCACTCTTCACTTTGCATCGATGCACGCCTCGCCTCTCCGCCGCCAGCTCGGCGGGCTTGTCCCTCCCAAAATCGCCACCCCGCGTCTCGTCGTGCGTGTCCCATCCTTCCGCCCCTTCTTCTTCCGTGTCCTTCCGTGTCCTTCCGCCCCACCTTCCCTCCTCCCTCTTCCTCCCTCCCTGTTATGATACTGACCCGCCCACCCTGCAGACCGGCAACTCCGGCGCGACCCTGACCCCGCTAGTGGACTTCTACTCCAAGCTCCCCAAGGGCCCCGCCCCCGCGCGCTTCGGCGGCCTCAAAGGCCGCTTCTTCAGCGGCAAGAACGCGAGCGGCGCACCCGTGCTCGCGCTCATCGGCGGCATCTTTTTGATTGGGTATACGCTCGACTACCAGCGTGCGTGTGGCTCATTTTTACACGCTGGAGACGGCGCTGACCTATCCTATCCTCTATCTTCCTCGTACTGGTACCCGCATGGCCGCCGACAGTCCACCTCAGTGCGTCCCCTCCCCTTCTTCCCCTTCCTTCTCTGACCTCGTTTCGTCTGATGCAGAACACCACAAGAACAACGCGCACTAGATCCAGCGCTCGACGTCGACGTCGGCGGCGCCTGTGGGAGAGCGGAAGCAGTAGGATGCGATACCGTGTGTTGTTACTCTGAATTGACTTGCGCCGTTCCTACCTCCTCTGTACTGTGCGGCCCCATTCGATCCCCGTCTATCGCCGACGCCTGCTCCGCCGTCCGCTCAACGTCTCAGCCGCCTTGAGCCTCTGCTGGCCTGTGCCTACATGCTCATCCTCCGTACGCCATCTGAGTAGGCTCAATTTACCCGGTGCCCCCCTTGCCCGCCGTGTCTGCTCCGAAGCGACTCGGTGTCGTTGCTCTGTCGCCGCTCGGCGCCCTCGCCCCTAGCGCGCCCCGCTCGCGCGCCCTCTCGTCCCCCGCCCGCAGATGCTCGGGCGCGCGCCGCTCCTTTCCCCGCACCGGTGACACCGTCCGTGCGCAAGGGCGACGTGCGGGTCGAGTCCGTGCCCGTGTACTGAGATGTGATGTGAGATGCTGAGGCACCGTTGACCCCCTGCGGGTGCTGCGCTAGGATTGCGCCCTCTGTGCCGTGGTGTATGCGTCGCGCCGAGTCCAGCAGTCGTCTACATCTACATCTACTTGGTACCAGCGAGTCGCAGGCACTCGTGCGCGCGCTGCCTGCCCGTCTTCCATGCGGATGCTAAAACGATCAATCGCATTCGGGTGCCTGCGCGTCGGCGCCAAACCGACCCTGTCTGCCCGTACAACAGCACGCTCTGACAAGTCCGCGTGGAGCAATGCAGCTCACTCCCGCCAAATAGCCAGTATTCACGACGTAGGCAGGGAGAGACGGCGGTTCGAGTCCGCCCGGGGACATTGTTTGACATGGTGTTCTTTTTGTCGTGGGACCGAGCATAGCTAGAGCTGTAGCTGTAGATCCCGCGGCGCTTTATCGACATCTGAGTGCACCGGCCCAGTTCTTCCGGATATTTCAGCTGATCGCCACACTTAGAGTTGTGGCACAGCGGTGAACGGCGGGTGCTGGGTGCTGCGGTTACAGTCGAGCTTGGTCCTCAAGCTCTACATATAAGTAGCCGTAGCCTACATACGAGTGAGTAAAGGAAAGGGACAGAGAAGGAACAAGTCCTCGTGGAGCAATGCAGCTCGCTCCCGCAAAATAGCCAGTATTCACAACGTAGGCAGGGAGAGACGGCGGTGTCCGCCCGGGGACATTACTTGGCTGAGTGTTCTTTTTCGTCGTGGGACCGAGTACAGCTATAACTGCAGATCCCGCGGCGCTTTATCCTGAGCGCACCGGCCCAGTGCTTCCGGGTATTTCAGCTGCTCGCCACAGCGGTGGACGGCCGGGTGCTGGGTGCTGGGTGCTGCGGTTACAGTCGAGCTTGGTCCTCGAGCTCTGCACATAAGTAGCCGTAGCCTACATACGAGTATGTAAAAGAAAGGGACAGAACCTCAAGGAATATGTCCTCGTGGAGCAATGCAGCTCGCTCCCGCAAAATAGGCGACGTTGTTATAGATGCAGGGGAGAAATGGCGGTTCGAACCCGCTCGGGGACGTGTCCACTAGGGCTCGTGGTAGCTTTTTGGTTTCTTTTTTCTCGTGTAAATGGAGGCGGAGGTCCCTCGACCGGCCAGCCGTCGATGTTCACTTTTTCTCTTGCTATACAAGAGAAGACGACTGTGAATCTTCGATCCTAATTCTACCTCAGATTCCAAATTCAGACTCGTCGCGACTACGGTCCAGTAGAACAAGTTCCCGTGGAGCAACGCAGCTCACTCTCGCAAAATACACTGTTTGTAGCGCATACCGGGAGAGCTGGTGGTTCGAGTCCACTCGGGGACATGGACGTGTCGATTGTATGACGTTGCTTTTTTATCTATTTCTCAGGGTAGCTTTTTGGTTTCTTCCTTCTCGCGGTAGTGTATGTAGGTCTCACAGCGGTCGAATTTTTCTTTTCTCTTGCTAGGCCCATACAAGAGACGACTCGGACGACTGCGAATGCACACACGCTTGGCTTGCGCGTGCGCGTGCGTGCGCTGCTCTGAACCGCCGATCGCAAATTCCAACTTCCACCTCGGTTACTGGTTCCTTTCCTTGACCTCACCATTGTTGCACAACTACGGTTCAAAGCAAGAAAGGAAGAGTCCCCGTGGAGCAACGCATCTCGCTCCCACGAAATGAGCTTCACGATTTGTGCCTACGCAGGGAGAGGCGGTGGTTCGAGTCCACCCGGGGACATAGTACAGTGTTGCAGACGCTTTTTATTTTATTGTCCCTGCCAGTAACTTCTCGATTTCTTTTTTTTCTCGTGGTAGCTACCGTATATGGCGGTCTAAATGCACATTTATTCGGCCGGAACAAACTTCGGTTATTTCGGACCTTCCGCAATAAAAATAGCTGTTTTGACACCCTCCGCGCTAAAAAAAGACAGATCAATCCGTGAGTTTCTTTTGCGCGCGGATCAGTGATTCCCGCAAAACAAACTTGAACCGCCCGCAAAACTTTTTTCAACCCCCGCAAAACTTTTTCAGTCCCCCGCAAAACTTTTGCTCACATTTCGGCGCAATAAATTGGCACAAGTTTGGGTACCCTTTCAGAAATGCAAAGTAGTCACTTAGAAGCTAATGCCGAGGCTTAAGTTGGGAGCAACTGAGCCACAGAAGGGGTGAACAAATATGACCTTATGCAGCAATAATCAATCAAATAAATTCTGAATGTAAACAGAAGTTGGTAAGGTTGGTAGGGTGTGAACGAGTATGAGTAAGGGTGTATGGCGCATGTTGTAGGGTCTGTTTATAAGAGACTAGGTGTCTCGTCTCGAAGACCATCCTTGAGATGACTGGAACTATGTGATCTGTAACTGCAATGAGGTCTGAGTGCTGATAGCAACAGATCATCGTAGTCACCCCTCAAATTTAAAGGAAAAATCATGTGTTATCAAGTTGGAGAATTGTCATTACTGGCACTGGTACTGGAGGGACTGCATTTTTGAGTGGAACTGTATGTTGATGGTTGGTCATTAATCACCGGTGTTTGGCAGTCTCAGGGATGTTTAACCACCCACATCTGACAGCATACACTTCTCTTATTCATCTGACTCTCATTTTGTAGTCCGACTGGTCACTTGTTTTGGAGAGTCTACTATATAATTCTCTCATGCAGTAGGGATTTTAGTTGACTGCCGCTTAGAAGGTGCATTGTCTCCATGGTCATGAAGGTTCTTCTCTGTCAAGGAGTTACCTCGATGAACATGAGAGTAAACCAAAGTTCAGAGCAATGCCTGAGTGCAAGTGGGGAGATATATCCTGCCTAGGGCTTGCACCTGTCCGTCAAGGGGGTTGGCTGTCTTTTCCACCGGGATGGGTCGACCCGTCCTGGCAGAGACAGTTTGACATCCTCGAGACGGGCGGGTCCCGCCTGTCTCATCCATAACAGCTGTCTTGATGGGTCATGGAGACTATTATTTCCAAGTCAGTTGGATAGATTTTGGGTGGTATACAGATGGACTGGGTACTTACCAGTACCTACAAGGTAACTTGGGTCACGCTAAACTTGTTGAATACGGTTTGCAGAAGGGCCAGTGAACGTTCAAGATTCAGATCAAAATTTGGTAGATGCCGACGATGGGTGGGCAACCTCACCTATGTAAGTTATTGGGCCCAATGATTGATTTATGGCAAGGATATGTCTGTAGGAGGGTAATAGTATCAGTGAACAATGTGAACCTGCACAAGCTTTGACTTCCATTTACAGCCAGAAAAGATAACCCATTGAACCTGTTAAACGGGCAGGAACAGGTACCCCGTCAATGGGTTGACCCGTCCTGTCTTGATGCGACATCAAGCCTCCAGACGGATGGGTCAAACCTGTCCGTTTCGTCTGTCGACCTGTCAAAAAGACGGATGGTTGCAAGCTCTAATCCTGCCAGAAAAATGCTGGAGGTCAGGAGTGGATACTCAGGCAGAATGACCCCCTCGTGCACTACCTCAAGGATGCATTTGTCAGTTTATTAGCAGATGGCTTGGCCCTGAGTTATGTCGTTTAAAGATATTCCCTTGGTCAGAGTTCTGTAGGCAGGTTGCCAATCAGCGAGTCACAATTTTTTCCTTTAGCTTCACCCCAATCTTCAATGGTTGATCTGCATCAGAACCTACTGTTCACTGTTTCAAATCACAAATGAATGGGCCGACCACTTACTAGAAGCACTCCAAGCCCAATTTCCTTGTCCTATGGTAATATGGCCTATCTTAAACCATTTTCAACGACTTTCCTGACAGAGGCTGGATATTGGTAGGTGGGTTAGGATAATCCTCACAATTGAACAGTAGGAGCTTCAGACTGGCCAGACGACAGACAAAAAGCTAGCTTGATGTCGCAGCTTCAGAAGCCAAAATCTTGAGCTGACCAAATTGTGTTGGATAATCAGCAAACTGCAGTTCAGATGATAACTTGAACATGCAGTAGTTCCATGCGTAGTCATGCATGCTTGCTGGCCATTTAACCCTGGCACAGAGTTCATTTCGAGCAAGGACCCTCTTCCAAGAGACTTTGCAGCACATGATGCACCATGATGTCCTCAGTTTCTTAGATTAACCAACAACCACACAGTGACATTCATGCCCAGCGTGAAGTCATGATTGAAGTAAGTGCCCTGAAATTGTGAAACACTGTTCAGTATCGTCGAATTCCCACGGCACAAGGAAGCTCAGGCATCAAGTGGTTCCAGGGATGGACATCTCACCAAGTCACATTGAGAGGTTAATTCTTTCTGGTTAATTAGAGGGGTGACTATGCTGGTCTGCTGTAGTTTAAGTCAGCCTTCAGCCTGTACCGAGGTTCTAGCATCGCCTAAATAGGCAACTTCTTCCCAGTAGTCATTGTAAAACACTGCACGTCGGATACCGCTCATTCACATCTATCTCATACCTAGAAATTTCCAGGCAGTCACATCCTTTGGCAACTCTGCTCATTTTGCACTCCAACATGCCGTCCATTTGTTAATGCTTACTCTCAATTTAACTAATTTACATTTCTGAACGGGTACCAAACTGTCCCAATTTATTGCGCCGAAATGTGAGCAAAAGTTTTGCGGGGGACTGAAAAAGTTTTGCGGGGGTTGAAAAAAGTTTTGCGGGCGGTTCAAGTTTGTTTTGCGGGAATCACTGATCCACGTGCAAAAGAAACTCACAGATTGATCTGTCTTGTTTTAGCGCAGAGGGTGCCAAAACAGCTATTTTTATTGCGGAAGGTCCGAAATCACCGAAGTTTGTTGCGGCCGAATAAATGTGCATTTAGACCGCCATACCAACGCTGTACGACTACGGTCAACTTTGAATGCAAGAAAGGAAGAGTCCCCGTGGAGCGATGCAGCTCGCTCCCACAAAATGTGCCTATGCAGGGAGAGGTGGTGGTTCGAGTACACCCGGGGACATAGGGTGAGACGGTGGAATTTTTTCTGTCTTTCTTTCTTGTTTTTATTTGTTCATGCCACATGGTAGCATGCCATAACTATAGGTCTCAACTCACAGCAGTCCGAGGCGTCGATTCGCTTTGCGTTGCTTTTGGACCATGCGTTTCTGCAAGTGTGTCGGCTCAGGGATGGGCTACGGCAATGTCGAGCTTGGCCCTCAAGCTCTACGTATAAGTAGCCTACATACGAGTAAAAGGAAGAGACAGAAGGAACAAGTTCTTGTGGAGCAATGCAGCTCACTCCCACAAAATAACGAATTTCGTTCTGGGTGCATGGGAGAAATGGTGATTCGAATCCGCTCGAAGACATGTCGATTGTTTCTCATGGTAGCTTTTTGGTTTCGTTTTTCTCGTGTCAATGGTAGCGGAAGTCCCGTGACCGGTTAGCCATCGATGTTTTCTTTTTCTCTTGCGCAGGTGTACAAGAGATGATTCGGACGACACGCGCTCAGGGTGTGCGTGCGTGTGCGGCTCTTGGATCGCAATTCTACCTCAGGCCTCAGTTACTGGTCCGATTCAGACTCATCGACCTCGCCGATGCTGCACATCTACGGTTCAACTTTGAAAGCAAGAAAGAGTCCCCGTGGACAAATGCAGCTAGTGTTGCCGCGGCTTGGCTCGGCTTAGCTAGCTGATCAAGCTAAGCCACAATTAAGCCAAGCTAAGCCAGCCGCTTCCCACGCGGCTCTAAGCGGCTCGGCTTCGGCTTGAGCCGGCTTAAGCTCAGCTCAGCCACGGCTTGCGACTGTCTTTTCAACCTGCAGGTTACTTCTCGCTCTACGTGGCGCCTGGCGCTCCCTGAACCACATCTCCTTCCTACCATACCGCGCGCGGGCCCAAATCTCTCTGATCCTCATAGCGACCGCACGCGACCAACTTGTTCGCCCTGTTCGCCCTGTCGTGACGCCCTGTTATCGAACTGTTATTGCGCATCTTCGCGCCGCATCGAGACAAGCAAACACTACTTTGGATAAAAGCGATGGGGGTATGCAGGTGAACGGTATGGAGCATTCTTGTCGCCGTGCCAATGCATCAGTTGATGGAATGTTAATGCTCTTTTCTGGTCTTTTTAGAGTTGGTGCCCTGCCCGATGTCGACGACCCTTTCTCTGAAATGGGGAGTCTTCATGATGCCGCCAGGCTATATAATGTGGCCCTCTCGCACAGATATTGGCCACAGCATCAATGCCTCCCAGCCAGAAGAAAACGACTGAGGCTGAAATAGCCGGTAATTGTCCACACTTTTCTCAATCGTCCAGCTCTGCTCTGACTATGTGACCAGCTCCGTCCCAAACTCCGGTACGTAGTCGGCGTGCTCGGAGAGCTCCTACTGCACCCGACAAAACTCCACCTCCACCTGCCACACCTCCCCCACCTAGACGGCGACGGCATCAGCCAGCCCCACCAACAGAGCCTGCTCCTGCTCCCGCCGAGGGTCCACCTGTCGAGCTCGACCCCATTGGAACTGATGATGGTGTGTAACTATATTTTATTTTATTTAACGTGTATTGAACATTTGATTTAGCTCTTCCTCATACTTGCGACGTCTTTGACGACGACCCCGACGCTGGCGCTGCAGGTTCATCGCCTCGTGCCAGTGTGCGTTTTACTGATCTCTATGACGACGACGACGACGGAGAAGAGTTCCGGGAACCATCACCTTCAAGTTCAACATCTTCTCGCTCTCGGAGCCCCTCGCCCACCCGTCAGCCTACTTCGCACCGCCGCCGACAGCGAAAATCGCCTCGAGCCAGGCCACATGCATCACCG